TGACATCGCCGTCTGCAACAGAGATGGCTACTTCTGGATCGTGGATCGTAAGAAGGTAAGGGCCTTGCCTCACCACCACGATTCCGGAAAAGCGTTCTAACAAGTTTGCAGGAGCTTATTAAAGTCAACGCCCTTCAGGTTGCGCCCGCAGAATTGGAGGCTGTCTTGCTCGAGAATGAGCACGTAGCAGACGCAGCCGTGGTTGGAATTACACTGTAAGCAACTCACATAATATTGGAATATCCTGCAGCTTCCAAAAAAAAGACTGACACCACATCCTAGTGAGGGCAACGAGTGGCCTAGAGCTTACGTAGCTCTCCAAGATGTCTCAAAAGGGAAGGTCAAGCCAGAAGATATCCAAGAATGGATCAAACCGAGGGTTGCCAAGCACAAGGCGCTCGTTGGTGGTGTGGTCTTTGTCGATGAGGTTCCTAAGCTTGCGAGCGGCAAGATCCAGAGGAAAGTGATGCGCGAGTGGTCTAAGAGAGATGCGGCGGCAATAGAGGGGGCCGCAAGGAGTCCGAGATCACGGTTGTGAGTTGATAATGGGGTAACACAATCAACGGCTTTCGATACTTGGCGCTGGAGGGGATAGTTATGGACTTCAATTTATGAGTTTAATTGGCTGGCCATGCATAGAGCATTTGCAACTCGTCATCAACTGTCGAATAGCGTAGAGGATGACCTTTACGCAGGCACATTTTATGGTGAACAAAATCGTGACGAAGATTCCAACGAGCTCCATTCTCAATCAAGCGAAGTCTTCCGCACTTCGATGTGAGCTTGAGTGGCATCCCTTTCCAATACGTCCGTTACTCGTCGATGTTACTTAAAGTCAGGCCTAGCAAGGCGTGCATCTTTTGTGTAACCCCAGGCCACGCCCCGTTTTCCGGTAGAGGTCTTCCGGCATACCCGCTGTCGTTTCCACCTTCTACTTTGTTTCCCCGCAAGGCCGCGTTTGCCCCTCTGGCCAAGATCGTTACTGCTACCTTGATGTGGTCTATTATGTCAGGTTTTTGCCGAGACCTGCGGTCATATATGACATCCGGAAGATCACTTATACAGTGCAGCATCGTGAAATGCGGACACTAGATCCTTCCCGGAGCGGCAACACCCTTCTACTTCAGGAACAACTGCCGAAGGATGTCCAGCCAGTCCCTCTTGAGCATGCATACTTGTCTCGAGCTCATGTACAGACGACATCAGCCAAGTTGCGCTCGCACCTACTCTCCAGCATGGCAAACAACGAGAACGACGTATCAGATTCGGCCAATGTTGGTCTCGATCAGCACCCACCCCATCTTTGATGTTTCCATGCTCCGCTAGGCCCGAGCGAGTGCCATCTCTTAGCCATAACCTGTCTTCCTTATAGGCAGAACAAACTTTTGAGTCAGTATACTCGTTGTGCGGCTTACAATCCTGACTCGAAATGACTCTTGGATTTGTTATCGATGCCACAAGGGACTTGATCATCTGATGTCACTGCTGCCCGCACCCGCAGAATTACATGCATGCCGCCGTCCTCTGGGGCAGCCTAGACGCCACCGCCGAGGTTGTCTGATGTCTGCCATGTCTGGAAGGAGCTGTAAGCTTGAAACTCACCTCGAGATACGAGCAGACAGGGTTATGGATGCCCTTTGGCGGAAGTACTGTCTGTTTGTGGTCACTAGGAATATGTCCCCAGTCAAGAGAAATGATGAGCTGAGAACTGACGTTGGTTTCTGGGGACTTTTAGCTCTCCGGCTTGCTAGCAACCTTTTCTCATAATCAATATTGTGGCTAACGAGACGTTGACATATATATCCCACTCTCTGTTCTCTTACTACCAAGCTTGAGAATTTGGCTTTTATGTAACATTGATCAGTTTTATCTCTTAAACACCCTATCCAAGCCTGTCCGGTTTGCTCTGATATAACCATGGGTGATATTTTGCTGCCAGAACCCACAACCATGGGAGACAGAGACGCAGCAAGGCGCCCATCAGCCCCAATTCACAGCGAGAGACACGTCCGAATCATCTGCGTCGGCGCGGGTGCTTCTGGGTTATTGCTGGCTTACAAGCTCCAACGGCACTTCTCCAACTATTCGCTTCAGTGTTTTGAAAAGAACCCCTCTGTATCTGGAACATGGTTCGAGAACAAGTACCCCGGGTACGTATACCTCTAATCCAAGTCTTTGAAGGCTCCCTCGGAACGATATCTTCAAGTTCTGACCTTCACAGGTGCGCCTGTGACTTTCCATCGCACAACTACACCTGGACTTTTGAACCAAAGCTGGACTGGTCCGCCGTGTACCCACCCGCTCCGGAGATCCTCGCATACTTTGAAAACTTTGCCAGGAAGTATTCACTATACCAATACATCAAGCTCCAGCACCAGGTCATCGGCGCCTACTGGAACTCGGAAATCGGCGGCTACGACGTCCACGTCAAAGACACATCCACCGGCGAAACCATCGTCGATCACTGCGACTTCCTCATCAACGCAGGCGGCGTCCTCAACAACTGGAAATGGCCAGATATCCCAGGCCTCTCAAAATACCGCGGCAGGCTGCTTCACACCGCAAACTGGGACGAGGCCGTCTCTCTGGAGGGCAAGCACGTCGGCCTGATTGGCAACGGCAGCTCAGGCATACAAGTTCTGCCCGCAATCCGCGAAGGGTGCAAGCGTGTGACGACTTTCATTCGCCGACCGACCTGGGTATCACCCGCCCAGGGACTCGAACAGCACTTATTCAGCCCCGCGGAGAAGGCGGAATTCGCGACGAAGCCCGGGACCCTCCTCGGGTACCGCAAGAATAACGAGTCTGGTCTCAATGGGCAGTTTGGGATATTCCTCAAGAACAACAAGATCAACGAGGACACGCACGCGTACTTTGTCCAGCAGATGAAGGAGAAGCTCAACGACCCCTCGCTCGAGTCGAAGCTCATTCCGGACTGGAGCGTGGGCTGTCGTCGGTTGACGCCGGGTGTCAATTACCTCGAGTCGCTCACCAAGCCCAACGTGGAGGTCGTCTACGGCGGGATCAAAGAGGTCACAGAACGCGGGTGCGTCACTGACGACGGGCGGGAGTACCCCGTCGACGTGCTGATATGCGCCACGGGGTTTGACACATCATTTAAGCCGCGCTTCCCCATCGTCGGGCCTTCGGGGGAGAACCTCCAGGATAAATGGGCCACGGATCCCGAATCATACTTGGGCATGGGTGCATCAGGGTTCCCGAACTACTTTATCATGCTGGGACCTAACTGCCCCATCGGCAACGGTCCCGTCCTCCCGGCCATCGAAACGCAGGCGGACTGGATGCTCAAGGTGATTGATCGCTATCAGACTACCAATGTCGTCTCCTTCACGCCCAAAGAGGAAGCCGTCCGTGACTTTGTGGACTACAAGGAGTCTTTTATGCCGAAGACGGTCTGGTCGGATTCCTGTCGATCGTGGTATAAGCCCCGCGACGACGGGCCCGTCGTGGCGCTGTGGCCTGGCTCAACGCTGCACTATATTGAGGCGATCAAGGAGGTTCGGTGGGATGACCTGGAGGTCAAGTACGCTGGGAATAGGTTCGCGTGGTTGGGGAACGGGTATTCGCAGACGGAACTGGATGAAACCGCGGACTGGGCATATTATATCCGAGATGAGGATGACGATCCGCCGCTGACGACGGCTGGGAAGAGGAAGGTGCTTACCAAGAGTGGTACTATCATGGGCCCGAGGAAGACTGTAACGTTTTGCGGGAATCCTGAGGAGGACCAGCAGCACCAGGATGGGGGCAAGGAAGTATCTAGACTGTAATGAATAGCAGACCTAGTATCACGTTCGAGAAGAAAAGCAATCTGTCCCATAAGGCTGCTCTGTAAATATTCAAATTACCTACCTTCAGCTTGGTCGATGTAGTGAGCCAGCAGATCCACAGAAAGATCTTGAGACGCTGCGTAGGAATGAACGAACACAGCAGAGAATGATACGACATCCTGAACAAGTAATAAAAACCAAAAACAACAGGAGCCGACCGAGGTTCGATCGCCGGAATCCTGAATGGTACGGAGCATCACGGACTACTAGTCAGCACTTCGCGACGTTCACCATTCGGTCACCAGGCCCGATATTTGTTGTTACGATGGGAAGGCAGTAGACTGATCATAAGGCTTACCGGCTCAGACTCACTGTTTATTTCGGATGGCGGTTCCAGCTTATTCCAAACGTATTTACTCCCAAGACCAGACCTGACATATCTTGTATCAGTCACGTCACCCGTGGTTGATTCATTCAGCACATCTACCTCATCTGGATCTGAGCAGTGCCCAAAGCTGCGAATCAGTGTAAAGAATAACTGTGGAAGACTTACGTACAGCATCTCTCAGCGGACCTGACATGTAAATAAGTACAGCTCGATATCACAGTTGAGCAGTCGAAGAACTACCGCAATCAGAATGGCAACAGCTCACATCTTACCTCCCCCTTAAGGGTAGCTTCAAGGCTAGTAATAAATTCCTTTCATGCTCTCCAAACGCTAGAATGGCCTGCCGGGTCCCCCACGCGCTCGTCACATGCGCTTTACTTGCCATAGCAGCGGCCGGCGAGCCCACGCCCGATACTGGATCAGTCGGCGCAGGCGCCATCGCGGGTATCGTCATCGGCGGGGACTTTGTCGCGGGGCTTCTTTGTGCGGGTGTAATGCTAGCGCGAAATCGAGTGTGGTAGCCCGGCACCGACATGTAGGCGGCAGGACGTTTATCCAGGGAGTTTGCAAGCTTAGAAAGAGGCTCCTCTCACAATCCAAGGAGGGCTTGCCTATAAAGCAACTTGTTGGTTGCTCAAGATATCAAGCCAGGGTCAGTACAGGCGTTTGTGAGCAAGACGAAAATAACCGCCTGTATCACTGACTGTTGAACAAAATCCTCACGTGGGCCATAGTCAATGCTGTCGCCGCCAGTGTCAGGACTCACCATCATTGAGAAGAGCAGGCGCTGGGTCAAAACACCGTGAAGGGGAGATGTAAGTCGGCGAGATAAGAATGGGAGTGGGTATTCATCAACATCATTACAATATAGTTATGGTTAACGGCTCTATGCCGCCTTGGCTTGCGCCTGTGCTTCTTCCATTAACTTTCCCACCTCTTTTTCCGCCTCGGCGGCCTTCTTAGCACCTTCAAAATCCGGCATTACTTTTGCTTCATGACCCAGAGCCACTTTGTGAAACCATGTTAGCGATTGGATCTTTATGAGAAAGGGGTAAGGGTGACAAGGGTGTTAACTTACACCTGTCAAAGAGGAAGTAGGAGGTGACGAGGAGGATAGGCATGGCCACCATGGTCGCGGTCCACTTCCTCGCCGCCGTGCCGTATGCTTTCCTGTATTCCTTGCTGTTCGGGTTCAGCTTGGGACGGGCGTCCGCCTCTGGGGCTGGGGGCGGAGGGGGTGGTGTGGGTGCGTAGGGCCGGATGGGAGCTGCCGTCGGCGCCGCCGCCGTGACCGGGGCCGCTTTGGGGGTGGTTGCTGTCGAGGTTGTATTGGGAGAGCTTGCTGTGGGCGCGGGACTGGGGACTGAGGTTGGTGTCTTCGGGGCGGCGGCGGCGGGAGCGGGAGCAGCAGCAGGGGCGGGAGGAGGAGGGGGAGGAGCGGCAGCCTTTGCTGCTGCCGCTTTCTTGGTAGCAGCTGCGGATGTAGCAGTAGTAGCCTTGGTGGTGCTCGTAGTGGCCTTCTTGACAGCCCTCGTAGCTTTCGGGGTCGTACTCGAAGCGGCGGCCGCTTTGGTGGTGGTGGTACTGGCCTTGGCCGAGGCCGAGGTTGTCTTGGACGCAGCAGCAGCCGTTGTAGTGGTGGTAGCAGCAGCAGCCTTCTTGCTAGCAGCAGAAGTGCTCACGCTCTTCTTCGTCGTGGTCGTGGTCTTCTTCGCTGCAGTGGTGGACTTGGTAGCGGTAGCAGGCGCAGCGGCGGCGGTCGTCTTCGCGGCGCGGGTAGCATAGCATCGCTGGGCAAAGAACCCCGCGCGAGAGGCCGGGGCCGTAGGATTGGCGGCAACTGCGCGCCAGGTGGTGCTCGCGAGAGCTCGGGGGAGGGCCATTGAGTTCATTGTCGAGGTTTTCCGTTCTATAGCGGAGAACAGGATCAAAAGATGGTGTATTGGAGGCTGTAAATGCTTTAGTTCAGGTACGGTCGAAAAATTGTGCGTGACAAGCTCGTGACTGCAGGAATTTTGCGCCTCGACGAGTGTAGAGTCATATCGAGCCTTCTTGCGGTAGCGTCGACAGGGATTGGGTGACGGTTTGCGAATGCGCCGTCAACAGATCGACATTTGGATGGTGGGATGCGACTTTGGGTCGGCTCTACAGCGCGTTCGCGTCGTGATGGTTCATGCGCTGGAAATTGGCAGGTGGGTTCTACACCGTGGCCAGCCGTTGGCAGCCGATGAACAGACTCTTCAGGTGCTGCCAGATGGCCATAGATAAGGTAGGCACATTCACGATGGCCCCACATGTCAAATGCTCGGAGCTTCTTTTTCTGTGCTCTGTTTTTTTGATAGGTAGTCGTCATAGCTCCAAGCTCTTTTCTCTGAAGCTATTGTGACCTCGACCAACTTTTACTTCGTACCATGGCTGTATTTATCTGCACGGCCTCGGGCGAAATATCTCTCTACGAAGTCGTCTGAGACGGAAACTTGGCTCAATCTCCGGTCCTGGCCTGCACACTGCCTCCGAGAAGATCGCAGATGGTCTTGAGATGCAGTGCAGCTCATGATAAGGACACTATAATGTGTCTTGACAAGCGCCCAACAGAAGACCCTCGGAAGGAATACATGCTTCATAAATACAGCCAAGAATCCCGAGGCAGCTCACATACTCGACGCAGAGCTGGCGGACAAAGCATCATGAAGGGCTGAAGCTTGCTCGCGACACCCGATGGTCTTGAGATCTACTAGCACCTTCCTTCGAGGGAGCTACCTCTGCACGTTCTACAGGACAATTGCCACGACGAAAAGCATACCTCAAGTCGGCAAAGCTTGCTTGACACGGGAGGTAGATGAAGGCCCAGCTTTCGTGACGTGAGAGTAAGGCTTCGCAAACGAGGACCACCATTTGGTCCGCAGTAGTTGCCTCCTAGTCGACCGAATTGAGCAGTTCCTCTTCAAATACAACCACGTTCCGATATCAGACTGAAGGACAACATAAAAGCAATGGTCGAATTGCATTAACAAAGCATATGTCTCGTAGGGCAGCGATGCAGGGAGGTAGGAAACGTTGGCGGCTGGTATGGAAGAACTTACGACATGATGGATATGTGGGCTGACAGGAACAACTTATAGGACAACTCTGGCAGTTTGTATAGAGTCTTTGGCAGATGCGGGCCAAATCAACCCGCATGAATGCCAGCACGGAGGAACCGAGTGGTTCTCCTCAGAACCACAACTCGAAGATGCAGATGCCTGCAGCATTTCCATTAGCGGGGAGATCATTGGGCACCGGGCAATGATCTCAGATGGGCAGATGGGGGGCCAAGGGAATCTCCAGTGCCTGGTATCCGGTCCGTCCAGAAGCTATCGAGCTCTGGGCAGCATTATGTATTCGATGAAATATTTGAGTCTTCGAGTTTTCATTTCGTTGGCAACGCCGAGAGATGCACAGTGGACGGTCGGCTTCTTTTGCTGTCGCGTGCCAACCAGTGTTGGTCACCTTGGGGGATTCGCCATCGATCGTGTACGAGAGATGCACGCGGGAACGCGAGTGCATTTGCAGACTAGCCTCGAGGCTCGGGAAGCGGGCGGCGGGGAGGAAAACGAAATGCAACGAGATCACGTCAAAACCGATCAATCTCTGGCCCCTCATCCTCCTCGATGAGGAAACAAAGCCATCCGGGCAAGTGTGCGGGCGGTGCCGTGCCGATAAATGCAGATGCAGATGCGGTCGCATTTTTACATGGCGGGTGCCAGGCAGAGAAACGAAAAGATGAGGCCACAAAACAGGTCGTTTGCGGTTCGCTTCGGCGGCTAATTCAATCACATCGGGCCGCTCCCTGCAAACCCTTCTTTTTTTGGTTTTGCAAAACACCATCAACGTTGTATTGCCTAACGGGCAATGACGAAAAGAATTGGGGAATCCAATGCGGCATGGGAAAGGGGGAGCGAAAGGGAAGAAACCCCGCTCGTGGGAAGTGAGACAGTGCATTTCGTTCATGGTCGTTCATCATGGCCTGATTATCTGCAGATTGGGGTGGCAGCGAGATGCAAGCATCCATGCCCACCAAATGTGTGAAACTACGGCTTTCTGTGGCGGCACGCATCGAGTGAACCGTACAGCCAGTGCTAGCAATTAGTATTGCGAGTTGGATCATTGCGGCACATGGGTATTACACCAGGAGTCGAAACAAGTGTTTAGTTTAACTGTTTTATTTGTTCTTTGTTTGTTGCTGCGTCTTCTATGAGATATCTAATGCATCCTCTATATCTCTAGAGCCAGATGTGGTATCATCTTTCCGGTATCCTCCACTCTTTCCTCAGCCTATCCAGCTGCACAAGTGTATACACGGCTTTACATAACTTTCACCACCCCTCCCTCACCTTCCCCCCTCCAACACCGTGGCCTCCGTTGGTCATCTACTTGGTGTTGTTGAAGCGGTCAATACCGTTCTTGATCCTCTTGTCGAGGCCCTTTGCCATCTTCTCGAGGGGTAGCCTGTTGTCGATGCGGCGGACAATGTTGGAGACGGGTGGCTCGACGCGCTTGATGCCCCTCTCGGCGGCGGGCGTGAAGTAGGAGAGGTTGCGCTCCCAGCGGGGCGCCCACTTTGTCGTCTGGGAGGCGAGGCGCTGCTCGGCTCCCGGGAGCATGAGGTAGATGGGGAGGAAGGCGCCTACGGTGGCGACGCCGTAGCAGAGTGTCTCGGTGGACTTTGCGGCGGGGATACGGGGGGCCATTATGGGTGGTTGTGTGTATGTGAGGGATGTGTATGTATGGGGATGGGTTTGTGGATGAGGATGGAGAGTGAGGCGAGTTTGAATCGACCTTGATAGTTGGTGATGTATAAACACTGCTGTGGTTGTAGTTGGCTTGTGATATGTGCTATGTCCTCCGAGCTGATGATGGCTGGATGGAACGAGATGAGATGATTCGATGAGATAGAAAGACAAGTCACACAAGATCAAAAGCCACGAAAGAGGAGGCAGATGTCCTCTTCTTAAAGGGAACTCACTCTCTCTGGGCTTCAGGGGCACTGCCTCGACGGTTCTGTTGTCCCGTCCTGAGCGTGCGGGGTAAGACAGATCATCCACGCGTGACTGGTCTATCCATACGTCGCCGTCACAGCCCAAGGTGCCAGATGAAAGTGAAGGGGTGTGTGTTTGGGGGGTGATGGGAATGTTTGACTGGTGGAAGGGGGGGGTAATCCAAGTACCTTTACTACATCAAGGCGAGGGAGACCATACCAAGGGGAGAGAAGCGCACACACACACTGGCGCCGAATTGTGATGGTGCCCCGAGTGTGGGAGGAGGAGGAAGAGTGAGAGCAGCAGAAGCACACAAGCAGCAGCAGCAGCAGCAGCAGCAGGAGAAGGCGAGAGAGGTGAGAGAGAGGAAAGTGAAATGGTAGGCCCAGCCGCCTGGTGCAACGCTGCGACGTGGAGGGTGGGCAGATGAGTGACGCAAACATGGGCTGGTATAGCATTGAACAGAGACACTTCAAAGACCATTCTCTGGGGTGAGAGGTCCCAAGGTCGAGGAGTTTCTCCAAAGAACATGCCACATGAGAAGCGAACGGGCAGTTGGATCTGGCCACGGCAAGCAAGTCCGGTGCGATGGAGAGGAGCTCACCCAGCGTCGACAGAGATTGAAGCCTGAAGAGAAAGTGAAGCAGGAAGAACGGGATGACCCTGACCGACCGTGCCGCGTTTTCCCCAGACTCTCGAGCTGCACACACACACACACACATTCACAACCTAATAGGTAGACCTTGGACTCTGCTGAAGACGGAAAGGGCATGAGGCCACCCCACACGAACCATCCAGGTCCAGCCATGTTTGTCTTATGGGTCTGTGTCCTGCGTATTGCCTCCTTCTCTGCTTCTTCATTCACTCACTCTCTGAACTCTCTCGACTTCCATCGCATGAACGGCAGTCTCTGGCAACAAGTGTCGGACTATGTGCCCTGCTCACTCACCTCTCTACTCACCGACGGATAGCGGGGACAGAACAGGGGGTCCAGGCAACACTCCACTGAAATTAGAAAGATGAGCAGCGCTGGCGACGGGAAGGGAGGGACCTGGGCAAGCTGGGGCTTGGAAGGGCAGATGGGGGGGAGCAACGCAAGAGGAGGGGGGACGAATGGGGGGAAAGGGAATTGCAGCAGGCGAGAAGCAGTGTTGTGGGGCGAGTGGGGACCCGCTCAGGACTGCTCCACAGTGTCCACTTCCCCAGACGCTGTAATTCTGGGGAAGAGGCAGCGCTAAACCCTTCCAACATACGAGCACGCTGCACAGAGAAGTGCCCCCCCCCTTCTCCTTCTTACGAATGGCGCGCTGAAGCAGTACCTATCCAGTCCCTTTTTCGCCCCCCCCTCAGTGGGCACGATACCCGTCGGCAGCCAGCACATCGCGGTCGGTCCACCCTGCAGAATCTCTTCCTCGACGACTGTCCTTACAATTGATCCTAATTGAAGCGAGAAACCTTTAGAGTTTGGGAGAGTTTCTCTTATCGGCGAATGCATCCTGCATCACTATCGTATCTATTCTCCTCCAAACCCCAACTACATAGTCCCCTTTCGACTAGAATTAGCCATCAAAGGCGGCGACGCCAGGCACACGACCAACACCAGAGCTGAGGTGGGAGTATCTGGGGGAAGGAGACGGTACTTGGTGCAAGGTACCCGACAGTGGGCCCGGATATGCACCGGTACTCCCGGAACATGTAGCTCCTCCGTCTCGTCCTCTGAGATCTACCTACCTCACAGAATACGGCTGGTGCGCAACCCCCCCCCCCCCCCCCCCCCCCAGCCCTCGTACCGAATCGGGTCAAGCGGCGCAGTCCCCTTCCTGCCCTTGGCTTTCCCACCATCCCCTGCCGGGCCTGCCAGCCTGGGGAAGCTCCGCTCACGATGTCCAAAACGGCTTGGCTTCTACTTAAGGTACGGATGCGATAAGCCTTCCTTATCCAGTCTGCCCCCATCCCATGCCACCTGCATGTGCATGTGAGTGCCTGGCAACTTGCTTCTCGATGCCTAACCAACATCTATGTCTCTCAATCCAACGTCGTGTCTCGCTGTTGCCCACCAAAGTATCACGGGCGACATCAATTCCCTCAGTTTCAGACCATCGTCATGATTCCATGAAAGCTAACATTCAATGGCAGCGCAGGCCACAGTCCAGCCCCCTACGGTCCACACCTCCCAGAGACCAGTCTGGGAAGCCAGCGTCGAGCTTGACCAATTCTAATCATGGAAACCCAGAAACAAACTACATGCCAAGGATGAAAGGTATAAGAACGAAACCACAAAAAAGAGTATTCCTCGGGGGGGTATCCGGCAGCAAATGGACATCCGCACTCCTCATTTCGGGGAGACCGCCATCCTGCCTTATCCCAAGGTAGGCATGCAAATAAAGCTCCCAGGCATCAGCTTATCGCAATCCAAACCCTCATTCGCCTTGAGCAAATCCTCAATCGTCATCTTCTGGCCCTCGGCAATAGCCCAACATGTATTCCCAATCTCAATCTTGTACGGCACCGCCAGCCCGCCGCACTGCGGCACCGCAGCCTCCTCCTCCTCGGCCCCGCCCGTCGACGACGGCGTGCGATACAGCCACCACGTCAAAACGAGCAGGAAAAGCCCAATGAGCACGAAAAAGTTGAGCAACGGCCTCATCTCATGCCTCCACCCTTTTCTATCCTCCCACGGGTTCCGTCGTCGGTTAAGCTCGCCGCCCGGCATAAAGGGCTCAGCTTCTTCGGTGGCTACGCCGGCGCCGGCGGCGGATGAGGCGCCCGAGACTTGGGTGAGCTGGCCGTATTGAGCGCCGGGCGCGCCTTCCCAGTAGCTTCCGTCTGCGTCTTTGAAGGTGTAGACTTGGGTGTCGGCGTCGTAGCCTACGCGGCGCATGCCGTGGGGGAGACGTTCCTCGTCTGTGTCGAGATGGGAGTAGCGTGACATTTTTGGTGGTGATGCCTTCTAAGGTCGGTATGGGTATTGAAAGAGTGAGACAGGCCGGAGTGTCGGGTTGACAAGGGGGAATCGATCAGTGAGTATATATTGGGCAGGTGGTATTTAGAGTTGTCAAAACGTCGTTTCGGTCGGGGGATAAAAAAATAAGAAAGAACTGGATTGTAATATGGAAATAGGAATGGGCAGCGAACGGCACCCGTACAGTAGGACGGAGGATGGAGGCAGCTCAGGGGCTGATGATCCCATTTGAGGCTGTGCAACCGCGTCATCGTCCCGATTACCGTCTTATGTCATCAGGCCCTCAGGGTCCGAGTGTGGCGCCAAGCTGTCCCCGCAAACTGGGCCGTGCACCTTCCCGTGTTTCCGTGTCAACCGACACCTACCTTGAGCTTCACGCGTTTCCTTGAATACCTTCATTCGCGTCGGAGTGCTGTCAACGACGAACTTTTATAGAATTTTGTAGGAAAGGCCGAAGCAATGACGAAGCGACGAGTCGGTCAGTCTGGTTTGTTGACTTAACTATACTTGGACTACGAAAACAAGCCACATTCGAGACCATGCACAATTGGTTCACCTAAATCCAAGCTCTATCGAAACTTAAAAAAGACCCCCCCCCCTCCCTCCGGGCTGATTTGGGGGCTAATCTCTTGGTGCTCATGCTGGTATCGTATGCGGACTCGACCTCGTAGCTTGTCGTCGAGTAGGCTCTGGGCGTAATTGATTGTCGACCCTAACCACTCCACCACCCAGCCAGTTTGACCCGACCCGTCGACCTAGACGGGCGCCTGCTGGCTGGTGACAGGAATTGGTTTGAAGGGGGTTATTTGGCCTTCTCGTGTATTCTGGTCGAGTGCGTATTCAGTAGCTATTCAGGTGGTGGGGAAAGTAATCGGATGGAGTTGGTAAGTGAGGTACCAAGACCGCCTTGCTCTTTACAACACATCTAGAAAATGAACAGACGCCCATGATGAATCAGAAAGGATAGCAGTGATTGACATCAAGTAATGAACCGCAGGTGTAGTCACATAGGCACGCCATCTTATGACCACTTAGTCATTCGTCCCCAGTTGCTAAGTGACAAGCGAAGGTGAGGAGATGTAAGTGTCCTTCCTCCAATATAGGAATACGCAGTTAGGTATGTTAGATGCAGGAATGAGAAATCGGCGTCATTTGGTGTTATAGACGTTGAATTCTGGGTTCCCCATTACGCCTACCGACCTTGTGCCTAATCAGATTCAATCAAGCAAGGATATGTAATTTCCGACTTACTGAGCCTGACCCGATAAACAAGTACAAAAGTATATACAACTATTGACCTTTTGGTTTGAAAGTCAGGAATCTCAGCTTATAAACTAACAGCAACGATACTCTATGCTCGCAATTGAGTCTTTTTGGAGAAGACCATCAGAGTAGAGCTCGGCGTGGCCAATGTCCGTCAGCGGGGTTAACGCCGGCGAATGTGTTCGAATGCGGGTTGCGGCGGACGACGCTCCGCCGTTGCAGCCCCATACGTCGAGGCGGAACTTACACCAAGAATGGCAACCTGCCTCAATCTTGTTTTTTCTTCATTTTGTTTTTCCTTTTTTTTTTTTTTTTTTCCGGCATGAACTAGGTCACAATGTCTCGCCACTAACCTCGCTATCCCTTCTCATCACACACAATGATTTAATCAAGTTATTATGGTAGCTGTTGGGAAGGCTGGTAATTGCTCACTTCACCACTTACAATTTGAGATAACCGCGTGGTGGATCGACGGGATTCGCAACCGTAGATCGTGGGTGTCTGGTTGCCGGTAGTCCCGTCTGGAGCATCCACGATACCCTTTCAAAGCATGCAATACGACGCAGAAACCAAGTCGTACCGGCCCCGTCGGCCCACCCCTTCACCAGAGCTGAACTGAATCCTACATCTGTCTGCTCGTTCCTGCGGCCCTGCCCCTCCACATCGTCCCCTTCCTGGATATCCATCCCCTCGATTTGCGGAGCAAACTAGTCCATAGTCGATCCAGGGACCCAGGCCCCATCAGACCTGGCTACATCCGCCCGTGTTCCCGAGACGCCATTGATGGAATTTCCAAAAAGTCTTAGCATGACAAGCCTTTTTCAAAGAGGGGAGCCATGGAAGACGTCGATCCGGCGAGGCGGTTCCGGATATTGACAGCTCTGTCGAAGCGGAGATGAGTTCTGAACCCTCTTGAATACAAATATGGGTGGCCATCCCACCGGTTTGATCACAAGAAGAAATACCAGCCTTTCTCTTCACAACCACCACACATCATCGACAGAACCTTCAAGATGAAGTCCGCAGTCGCTGGTGCGCTCGCCCTCGCGGCCGCCGTCTCTGCACAGGCGCCCTTGTACGGGCAATGCGGTGGCCAAGGATGGACCGGGGCAACAACCTGCGCCGCCGGGTCCGTCTGCACGTATAGCAACCAGTGGTACTCGCAATGTCTTCCCGGTATGTCTCCCCAATGCCTCGGCTATAAAAGCACACAAAGACTAACCAATATCATCAGGCTCCGCCGTGACGACGACCTCCCGCTCCAGTACCCTCGCGACCTCGACCCGCGCGGCAACCACCTCGTCCGTCGCCGCGACGTCCCGGACATCTTCGGCCACGACCCCGCCCAGCACAGGCTTCCCCAAGGCCGTCGGCACCAAGTTTAGCATCGACGGCGTGGCGAAGTACTACCCCGGGACCAACTGCTACTGGTGCAGTTTCCTCACCAACGCGGCCGACGTGGACCTTGTCCTGGGCCATCTCAAGACTTCTGGTCTCCGGATTCTTCGTATTTGGGGTTTCAACGACGTTAACACGATCCCCCAGTATGACAACTGTATGAGGCAATCCTAGCCTTTGTGAGGTTGTGTCTGTAAGATGCTAATGATTGAGTAGGGTTCCAATACCTGAGTGCGTCGGGTTCGCAAATCAACACGGGCGAAAACGGCCTCGGACGCCTGGATACCGTCGTCGCCTCTGCTGAGAAGAACGGCATCAAGCTAATCATCAACTTTGTCAACAACTGGTGAGTTCTGACCAAGCATCCCCCCACTCCCCTTATTCAGATTCCATCATCTGACGTAGTCCCAGGAACGACTACGGCGGAATCAACGCCTACGTCAACGCCTTCGGAGGCGACCACAACGGCTGGTACACCAACACGGCGGCCCAGACGCAGTACCTCAAGTATGTTCAGACCGTAGTCAACCGCTACAAGGCGTCCCCCGCCATCTTCGCGTGGGAGCTGGCCAACGAGCCCCGCTGCCAGGGCTGCGCTACCTCCGTCATCTACAACTGGGCGAAGACCACGTCCGCCTACGTCAAGTCCCTCGACCCCAACCACATGGTGACGCTCGGTGACGAGGGTATGGGTCTGCCTGGTGACACGTCCTACCCTTACCAGTACGGTGAGGGAACGGACTGGGTTGGTCTGTTGAACATTACTACCTTGTACGTTGGCCCCCCTTGAACTTGGTCTCCGTGGTGGTGTCCTGTGATGCTAATGTCTGATTTTTGTTTTAGGGACTTTGGAACGTTCCACTTCTACCCCAACTCATGTAAGTCTGCTCGCGATAATGAGCCACAAGTGAGAGGCCACTGACAACCTATAGGGAGCGTTGGATACGATACTGGTGCCAAGTGGGTGGCTGACCACGCAAAGGCCTGCGTTGCCGCGAACAAGCCTTGCTTCTTTGAAGAATGTAAGTCGCAGACCAGACACAGCAATCTCACAGGAAAAAGTAGGAGGAATACTGACTAAAGCCTTCAAATGATAGACGGCGCGCCCTCCGACCACTGCACGATCGAGAGACCATGGCAAATCGCCTCCGTCGCTACCGCGGGCATGGCTGGCGACGCTTTCTGGCAGCTTGGAGACACGATTAGCACCGGCCAGTCGCACAATGACGGCAATACCATTTACTATGGTACCGATGAGTGGACTTGCTTGGTCACCAACCACGTTGCCGAAAGCAATTAAACATGTCCACTGGTGTGTCCCGTGTGAGGATGTGGTGCTTGGTCTTGATGTCAGAGATGCTGTCGTCTGACTGAACCCGTAAATAGCCCTTCGATTCGATGTATATATTGAGCCAAGAACTTGAGAAAACTGCACAACTTTTAATGAGTGAAGCTGCGCCACTGAATGGAACATTACTGCTTGTGTTCCAAGAATGAGGCTTCCGATCGGAGTGATTTAACTTGCCACACGCAAGAGCACATCCCCATTTGGGAGTCAGAACGAATAGATGTAAGTATTAGAAGTCTTACATCGGAAGACCCTTGAACTAATACCAACATGGAAACATCGCACCAAGTCCCTCTCAACAGCTAGTAACCCCTCAAACAACTAAGTCTCCCTGATACTGCTCCTCAACAGATCCTTCTCGACAATAACACTCTTCCACGAAACCAACTCAGAGACATCCCAATTCACCAACACCATCCGCCCATTCAGAAACGCCGCCTCCTCCGAAGCACTCCAAACCACAAAGTCCCCCGCTAGTCTCTCATCCGCCAATTTCCTTTTCAACCCAGACTTGGTCAATAGAGCCGTCTGCACCGCGCCAGGATGAAGGGAGACGACGCGCGCCTCGGACACCGGGACGTCATCCGTAACGACTTCCGCTAAACGGAGCATCGCGGCCTTGCTTGCACCGTAGCTGCTCATACCGGGGATATGAAACTCGTACGCCGCTTTCGTGTTGATGTTGATTACCACGCCCGGTTTCTCGCCATCCGCTCCGGCCTTGAGGCCCCTCCGGTGGCGGAGATATGTTTGCGTCATAAGCGCCGTGCCAAATACATTCGTCGTGAAGCCCTGCCACCAGTCGTTCAAATCTGCGTCGACGAAGCTCATCGGCTCGGAGAGGTACCCGGCATTGTTCACGAGGACGTCGGGGGAGCGGTCTAGGCTTGCAAAAAGAGAGGCTACGTTTACTGGGGAGGAGACGCTGCCTACGTGGAGGGAGACTTCTAGATGGGGGAAATCTGCGCGGAGGGCGGCTGATGTTTTCTGGAGAGTGGACTCGGTGCGGCCGGTGAGGATGAGTTTCGCGGCGTTGGCTTGGGCGAAGCTGCGAGCTGTGGATGCGCCTATGCCGGACCCGGCTCCGGTTATGAGGACTGTTTTGTTCGTGAATTGTGTTTGGAGGAGGTGGGGGGAGAGGTCTAGGTAGGGTTCGTAGTGTTCTGTTCTTATGAGGGATGCCATGGTGATGGAGCGACTTTCTGATGTGGCTTTCTACGACTTCCACGCATGAGAGAAACTACTTCAAGGAAGGAACTGAAAGTACGTGTACTCATCTCACTTGACGTTGACTGAAAGTAGTGGCTTACCAAGCACGATAGCTACATCCTAGAACCCTCAGAACAGCACATCGTGGGATAAGTCACTACGGAAAGAACGTCAAAGCGGCACTTTCAGAAGCCTAAGACTGTAGCTTTCGGACTGTCGGGAGGTAAGCGGCAATTCGGTTAGAGTAAGATGGCATTCGAGACTTTGCAGGATGACCGGCGCCGAGGTTGAGGAAGTCCGAAAGGAGGTCCGTGTAGGTGAAGCTCTTTCACGCGTCGAGATGAGTTTATTTCAAACTCAAAACAACTTGGGATGAAATCCGGGCCGTTGGGGAAAATCCAAAGTGCTTCAGCCCGGGCGCCGTAAGATCTATAGAGCGATCGCCCGGCTGGCTGTTTTATTCCCTGGTGTCTCAAACGAGTTGATATCCCACAGAACAAGTCTAGCGAAGGAGCATATTACAGGATAAAAATTGACGAGCCTTGTAATTTTGCTTCAATTACCGGTCAAATTTCTAGGATTTCAATGTCTGTGAAATCTGAAGGGTCCAGCACTGGTTCACTTTGTCCGAACGAATAGATTCCGTACATGACGCCGCAGAACGCCCCTCCTACTGGAGGGAAGACAGTCAATGCCTCTGATTTGAAAATCTTGGTCGTCGTAACCCCATCAACTGAGAGATTCATCTCGTAGTCGGAGGAATTGGCGGTAATTGACAGTTTTACCGGTTGATCTAAGTCAAGGGCAGGTCTTCCAGAATCCAACAAAGGTTGCGTCACCTTTGATCATTAGAAAGAGTCCCGAAAGCAATCAGGTGGCCAATCACGTACTTTGAGCTTGTTGACCTTGCCCGTAGGCTCCCTCGTGATGATTGTAGGGACGGCGGGTCCTCTGTCTTCCTGTTGAACAGCACCAATGCCAATTGTGGCGTAAGAGTACTGACTCCACCAGACCGTGATGCCGGATTCATACCCTACCCGGCTGGGTTTGAAGAGCATTGTAGCCCTGAAAGTCTCGCTGTACGAAGTCTGTTTTCTCAAGATCATCGCGGGCGATTCGGGACTATTGAGATCGAAGCAGTTCCCGTAGAGCCTCAGGTAGCCGGGACGTTCTGTCAGGCTATGGCAGGGCTTGATGGGCGTATCTAGAAAGGCAAAATCAGCTTCAGCACTGAAAGCAGTGCTTCAAATCCTCAAACTCACTCTTGTGATACCAGCCAATCTCCAGAGAGGATTTGGAAAGATCCGCCTTCCACTTGATCCCGTCAGCACCCGCAACGGCGGCCTTCTGTACCGCTTCTCTGCCGACGGTTTGGAGTGTAATATTGCGACCCTTGTTGAAAACGGGCCAGTCGTCCACCCAGTCAACCTGCACCAAAAACGTCTCCCGACCCATCTGCGGCTCGAGATACTCCTCTCCAACCTTCACGGGCCGGACGCCGAGCAGCACGGCCCACCATCTCCCACTACCATCATCAAAAACGTCACAGTGGCCGGTCCTCTGCACCTCCTCCTCGGGCCCATTATACCACAAAGCCTTGCACTGCCCCTCCCACGGCCCGTAGGGACCCGCCTGGCTTCTGAAAACCCACTCTTGGTGGCCGGCTTCTGTGCCACCTTCGGCGGTGAAGAGGTAGTAGTACTTTCCCTTGCGGATGATGTGAGATCCTTCTGCGATTCCGTGTGGGGATTCACGGATCACTTGTGGCGGGGTGAGCGTTCTGCCTGTGGAAACGTCTATTTCTGAAATATGGATGGCAAAGTCTTTTAGTTTGAGGCCGGGGGTTCGCTTTCCCATGCGGACTGTTGTTGAGAGGTAGACCTTTCCATCGTTGTCCCAGAAGAGCTGTAATTGTGATTAGCCGTAGTCATGTATGGTTCTAACAAGCTACTCACGTCTTGATCGAATCCGGGATTGTCAAAGTACACGGGATCTGACCAGGAGTTCTCATCCCAGATATTGTCCGTCCAAACATAAAATCCCCGAGGAAAGATGCGCTCCTATAAATACACATGAATATTGTCTCATAATTAAAAGCATGGTCTTTACCCACATCACTCGTCGGTCGATATCTTTGAAACAGCCCGTTGGCGAGATACCATCGCTTCTCCTGGGATCGATAGCGCAGCGTGCTCGCCCAGCTCCCGGCACCAGGCTCGACGGTCCTCAGCTCAATCTGGCTTCTGCGCGTGAGTGCGTGTCCGATGAGCTTCCAGTTGACGAGGTCCGTTGAAGTGTATATCGCGCAGCCTGGGAAGAATTCAAAGGTGGAGGTAGAGAGGAAATAGGTCGTCGGGGTTGACTCTGTTGCTGGCACTACACACACTGTTGGGTCTGGGTTGAAGCCCGGGATTATGGGGTTGAGGAAGATTGGTCCATCCTCACGAGAGGCCATCTTGACGATCTCTAATGAAAATGGGTGTATATCCAAGGTAGGATGACAGTGCCAATAATAGAGTTGTAGTTGGTTGGAGACTTCTTGGAAGTTGGCCTCATGTGAAAGCTTTCCAGCCAACAGTCTATTGGTGCTCGTCGGTGCTCGCCGGCGGTTGAGCTCGGCTTAAGTTTCTCCAGCAATCACAGATCGTCCCCGGCCGGAGGATGCGATCTCCACTTGAGAGGTGGAGTCCTTCGCCGCCGCTTGACACGGCCGATGGTGCCGATGACGGGATACGAACCACCGGAGGTTAGTAACCGAAGGCCGCGGCCGCAACGTAGCACTGACAGATTGACATCAAGGAGTATGCAAGCGACTCTTTCAAACGAGAGCAGATGAAACTCCTTCTCCGCCTCTGAATTGCATCCGAGTTAGGAGATGAAACGGGACAGCCCGTACAAAGCTACTTTACTATTGTGGTTCACACCCTTGCATTTTGCTTTTGCACACAACCACACAAACACAGACTAACACCAACACTAAAGTCATCTGAAGTGGCACAACCCGTTCACATTGTATCCTTTTGCGCAGTCCCAACGGTCGTCAACCACTTCGCCTTGCGAATACAGAAAAACTCCAACTTTGGCTTCCACAGCTCAACACCCTCACCCTCCACGCCCTGCACGTCATCCATCGTCCCGGACGTGACGGCAATCCGGCCGGGGTCCTTGTCGCTGACGACGAACAGCGAAGAGCCGCAGTCGCCGCAGAACGAGCGGGCCAGCGAGTTGCCCGAGTTGGACGTCCCGGCCTTGTAGACTTTGATTTTCTTCTCTGGGTCGTCGACGGAGAGGTTCTGTAATTATTTAGCTATGTTAGTAACTAAACATGTGATCTTGTAGGGACGGGTGAAGCGGGTGCCGTACCTTTGTCTCGACTAAGCTGTTCGCGCCAAAGGACGAACCCGTAAACTTGCGGCAGCTGTTGCAGTGGCAGACGACTCCGAAACCGAAGCCGCCGGCGACGGTGTACTTGACGGAGCCGCAGAGGCAGCTGCCGGTAACATTTGTTGGTGTCTGATCGGTCATTGTGATTGACTATCTGGAATATGATTGAGTACGGGCGTTTGATGGCGAAATAATTGAGGCAAATGCCGTGATGCGGAATTTCAGTTTTACTGTAAACTCAATTATCTTCTCCTAGCGTGTGAAATGGCAGGGCACAAAACGGTCGAATGTGCTAGATCCATCTCGCTTCATCCATCCATCTCACCGCTGGGTACAATCTCGCCCACAGATCTGTCCCGTCCCGCAGGCCGCCTTTTCATGCAAGTAAGCGCCGCCAGCTGTCGTTGATCTTCCAAAGTGCGACGCCTCAGCCATGATGGGAACAAATGCAAGGTGGTATGTGACCATCGTGAGACACAAAATGAGGGGAAAGAAATAAGGCACCGAATGCATCAATCCGAAAAAGGGAAAATGAGGTAGCGCAAGCAGTGTGCCGAGATAACATCAAAAGCGGCCTGCTGGCTCAGCTTATCCCGTACTATTCCCCAATCGAGACATGGTCCAAAATCTCAGTAAGTCCTCAGCCGTGGCTGAATTGAGGGCATGTCAGTGGTTCAAAGGTCCGATCTAGAGGCTTCAATCCCCTCACATCTCTGCCTCACATTCACCATGCTCAGCTGAGAATCATAAGCTGAATATCATGGCCTCTGAAACATCGAAGCTGCCATCCGCTCCGAAGAGACGGGCGAGACTCCAAAAGTCGTGCACCGAGTGTCAGAGGAGGAAGCAGAAGGTGAGTTGTTGATCAAAGGCCCATTACACATCAACACCAATCCACCCGCCATGTAACGGTATCACATGTCCAAGAACGAACAGAACCTGGTCACTTCAATTTCATCGAGTTCACGCAAGACTAAAGAATGGACATGTTGTAGTGCATAATCCGGCAGCCTGACGCGCAGTGCGTCAACTGCTCGAGGCGGTTCCCGCCCGTGGAGTGTACCATTGTCCAACTCGGACCATGTATCCCGAAGCCGGTGTACGAGACACAAGTCCTCAACTTTGAGCTGTCCTCGCTTCCCTCGAGATCGGGGAAGCAGACAGCGGTGCCTTTCCACGGTCCCTGCGCCGCCTCGTTACCCGGCATCGCGTCCCTGGACTTACTCGGTAGACTGCCCGTCCGAAATCGCTACAGGAGAGAGCCAAAGTCGAGATGCTGCGCGAGCCATGATCACGCACGCCTTGGGGGAGACTGCTGCGAGGACAATCGAGAAGAGGAGAGGGCCGTGTCGAAGGGCAGGACTCGCGCCAACCTGTTTCTCGATGGAGACGGTGACCCCCTGGCCTTCTTCCACAATAGTATTGCATCCATCGGTGGCATCCTCACTGAAGTTACGACCCTTCACGGCATGCCGCTCCCTGAAGGGCCCAGAACGACGGAGCTTATACATTTCTGTAAGATCATTAGTGCCACCGTCCTTGAAGCATCGGTAGCTGACGAGTTCGCCCGTAGACGTTCAGTTCGTCGCACCCAATATGGTGTCGATTGATGGCCAGAGCCAGCCGCCTGTGTTCCTCACGGAGGTCTTACCGTGGATGCTGCAATCCCCTCTGTTTCCCAACATTGGCATTCTCATGTCCTCGATGACCCAGTCACTCGAGCGAGGGGTGGAAGTCGCAAAGAGCCCCGAGTCGCTCGCCCTCAAGTCATGGGTGCTGTCAATGATTGCGGACTACATGCGGCGACCATTTGATGCGATCGCAACTGAGATGGTCCGGTGCATTGTGAATTTGGTCGTTATGGAGGTCAGCTCAACTTCTAGTCCCAAAGACATCTTCATCAACCACCCCCCAATGAAGAAACTGATTTCTCTCGCAGTGGTTTTGGGGTGCCGATGAAAGCATGTTTGCCCATATGAGAGGCATCAAACGCATGATTAAACTTCGCAAAGGCATGCGAGGGCTGGGAGACATTGTAGGAGAATCCATCCTGATTCTGTAAGTCCAAGTGAGTTCGTATCCAGTCATGTAAGTTCTTGCTGACACAAGATCAAAAAGAACCGATTATGAGATTGCCTGTGCCTTTGAGACGGATCTGTACTGGTTAGAAAACGACCCAGCTCGGGACGAGGAAATCCCCATCCCGACGACGTGGCCAGACTGCTACGACAGCCCTTTGATGGCGTCCGCACCGCGATTCGAGAGCATCGCAGAGAAGCTCGGCATCTGCGCCGCGACGGCCAAGATCCTGGACGACGTGCGGTTCCTCACGGAGTCCGTCACATCGGCATCGGCGTCGGGGGCGAGCAAATCAAAGATTCGATCAACCGCATCGTGGCTGTACGACAAGCTGCGGGAGAAAGGCACAGCAGCAGCGGCGGCGGCAGCAGCAGCAGCAACGGGACCCACACAAGTCGCCTCCTCATGCTCCTCCGAAAAGGAACGGATCCTCGAGACCGTCAGGATCGCCGCCGTGATTTACAGCTGGTCCATCAAGTCTCTACGACCGATTTCACTGTTCGACGACGCCGAGATGCTCCGCGCGGCGTACGCCAGCCTGACGAGCGTGAGCATGACGACGTGGAAGGGGATACCGGGGGTGTTCTTGTGGGTGATGCTGGTGGCGGCCCCGAACGCGGCGGCCGATGCCAAGGGGCGGTTTGTGAGAAGAAAGATGGCCGTGACGGGGCTGTCGATCGGGTTCGAGGACTTTGCGCTGGGGATTTCGTACCTCAAGGCGTTTTGGGGCGTGCAGCGGTGGATCGCCAGGGAAGGGGGCGGCGAGGGCGAGGGCGAGGGCGTGGGTGAGGGCGCCGGTGTGCGGAGGCACGAGAGGCTGGAGGATAAGTGGTCTTTTGGGTCTTGGCCGGGAGTGTCGGTATAGTCCACGAGAGTCACGAGAGCATCAAACCCTCGCAGGCTTGCGCGTTGTGTTGTTCGGGCCCCCGGGGTGCTGGGTTGCGGACTTGCGGTAGGAGATAGCCTACGGGATATCCTTACGGAGCCGAGCACGGAATAGGGGCAGGAGGGCAGAGAGGGGCGAGCAGATCCTGCGGCGTCACGAAGACATCAGGTGCTTTGATTGTCTGACATTGTGTGTGCTGGGTTTGCTGACCGATCTTTGGGTTTTGCTTCTTCATTCTTGTTGGGTTCCAGTTTGTTGGTGGCGCAGACAGAGATACATGTACATCATAGATGATCACATAAGGCAAATAGTTTGATGCTCATTCTGGGCTCTGCCACTCTTGGTATCAGTGAGTGACTGGTGGTGGCGTGGCATGGACTCATAGAGTAGGGATGAGGAGGGGATGAAGGAGGGACGAGAAAGGGATGAGCATCTCGGATTTCCTAAAGGAGCAATCCGGTGGACCGGGACCGCATGCGCAAAGCAACACTGCACTCCGCATTTCTCCCCCGGACGCAGCTGTCTCCCCCACCGCTCGAAACCTTCTACCTTTCCCTATTCGTCTTTGTCTGGTTGACATGCGCAGTCCATGTGTCTAGCGTGCTAGCGTAGTAGTGGCACGAGTGGCTATCTGGATGTATACCGACGTGTAGGTTTCCGCAGCCAAGGTAAGGTTACTCAGGTATCTCTCTGTTCATGATGGTCTGGAACTCCCAGACAGGGATGATAATGGGGGTGGAGATGAGTTCTGGACCCTATTTCCAAATGGTGCAGTTCAGACCCAGTTTAGGTCCCTTGATTTTCTTGCTACATTCTTGCGAAGCTTCACGATACGACTCTGAGTCTCTGACAGTCTGACTCCTCTGACTCCTCGAGAAACAATATCCGCAGTTCCGTCCGAGTAGTGTGTTAGATGGAGTTTAGGAATGAGAAATGGAGCCAAGCCCCACGAAAGCCTTACCAAACTCCTTTCCAGAGATTCAAAGACTCAGAGGTTCAGAGCTCAGACATGTCGGGGGTGTATTGCAGCCCAACGGGTGGTAGTTGAATCAACCATTTTCCGTTTCATGCCAGTGAAAAGTTGAAAAAAGTGGTAAAGTGTGGTGGTGGTTCTTTCGGTAAACCAACCGATTTTCCGCACCGCGGGCAGCCGGTTGAGTTTCCGCCGCGCGGAGGGGTCCAAAGGTGGAGTATTCCCGATTGCCCGCCCCCATGTCCCCATGTCTCCATGTTCCCATGTTCTTACCCCAGCATAGACTAGACTCTCTCTCACGCGGGAGCGCATCCAACTGCTTTCCCGGAGCTTTTGGAAGCAGCTTCGAACCGGGGGGTGAGGACCACACTGGCACACAGAGAGACAGAGACACGGGAACACGGGGGCAAGGCGGGGGCGTTCCAATCTCTATTCTGAAATCTGACATCCCGCATGACCTGTCTCGGACATCGCAGACCCATCTTTGAAGGTTCTAGCCCTCGATGAGGTCTCGATGAGGGAGAGAAGTCTGGAGCCCGTTGCTGCACATGCTGTCCATGCTGCCCATGGTATGCAACGAAACGTACCCGCCGGCGTGGATGAACAAACCTTAGATTTTTGCAGGTCCCACAAAGAACTCCAACGAGCAGCAAAAACACAAGAAAAACAGTGGTGCCAGGGGTTCCGTTTCTAAGAAAAGATGAGGCGAAGGGAGCTTCGAGCTTGATACTGCGGATATTGCACACACACACACACACACACCTACACACACACACTAGACCCTAGATACACTGCAGTACCGACTTGGTAACTCGACGGCACACGAGCGAGCCCGACGTCTCGTCACCAGTCCATTTCCGGAACGGGCAGAGCGATACTTACGACCTAGTATAGACAATCCTAGACAGCTCATGATAACGCAAGCTCCCCATCAGTCCAATCCCATCCCCTTGTTCCTTCGCCCGCCTCGGCCGGCGCTAGCCATTTTGTTGCTAAACGGATGCCCATTGTGCTCGGGATTGCTGATCTTGATCTTGCCATGGGGGGGGGGGGGGGGGGGGGGGGGGGGGACATGGGCCAAGGGTCATGGCATGACGGGAAGAACTTAGACGGTGAGGGGAGAGGGGGGTGAGAGAGAAAGAGGCGTGGGAGGCAATGAGACGAGACGTGGGTTTGTGGTGGTGGGTGCGGGGAAGCTCAGCCCATTAGGAAAAGGGTGAAAGATAGAGCTCGACGATGTATAAGAGGACGACTTCACGATGGTGTCCTGACCTCTTAGTCTCTCTTCACTATCACACACACTTTTCATCATCATCACTACTCTCGTCTTATAGACAAAAAGCAAGCTCTACCAGTCCCATCGACTACCAACCATCAACACCTTTGGTCCAATACACCCTCCTATCTCGGTCCGTCTTAGTCTTAACTAGCCATCAACCACCTCCGTCATCAACCTACCTCCCACGGAACCAACCGCAGCATCTTGATACTTGAAGAAGAAGCCAACAAGAAGAAAGGCCTCCTCCCTCCCACACTCCAATCCCGGAAACCTATCCACACACACACACACAGACAAACACAGCAGAAATGTCTCCCGCAGCTCTCGTTGAAGCCAGCAGCAACATGTCACGGTACCTAACCCGCGTCCGGCCCCTCCGTCTCATTGGACCTCATCTGACCCAAAGGAAACTTCCCAGACTCGCAGTGCAACCCGTCGAAGCCCCCGTCGTGGCCCCCGCGAACCCCCTCGTCGCGCAGGAGAGGAGCTTTCACTCGACTCCCAAGTCCCTCGGCCTCGGCGCCACGACACCCCAGGTCGCTCGCGGCCTCCCCGAGTTCAGCCTCCAGGGCAAGGTCATTGTCGTCTCCGGTGGCGCGCGCGGACTCGGCCTCACCCAGGCTGAGGCTCTCCTCGAAGCTGGCGCAATAGGTAAACAAGCGATTCTACTTAACAACTCTCTCTCTCTCTCTCTCTCTCTCTCTCTCTCTCTCTCTATACATACCTCTTCCTTGGAGATACAAACTCTCTAGACGTGTTATACATCAATACAAAGCCAAAGACTAACACCGAACCCCTTAGTCCACGCAATCGATCGCCTCCCGACCCCCGACCCCGACTTTGAAAAGGTCGCCCTCCGCGCCACCGCCGAGCTCGGCACAAGCCTCTCCTACCACCAGGTCGACGTCCGTGATGTCGCCCAGCTCAACGACATCGTTGAGGGCATCGCCAACCAGCACGGCCGCATGGACGGCCTCATCGCCGCCGCGGGCATCCAGCAGGAGACCCCCGCGCTCGAGTACAAGGCCGAGGACGTCGACCGCATGATGGGCGTCAACGTCACGGGCTCCTTCATGACCGCCCAGGCCGTCGCGCGCCAGATGGTTCGCCTCGGCACCGGCGGCAGCATCGTCTTGATTGCCAGCATGAGCGGTACCGTTGCCAACAGGGGGTTGATCTGCCCGTAAGTCTTTTTTACCACATATACAGACTCCGCAAGTAGACAGTTGGAACTGACAAATTCTCCTTACAGCGCATACAACGCTTCCAAGGCCGCCGTTCTCCAGCTCGGTCGTAACTTGGCTGCCGAATGGGGCGCCCACGGCATCCGCGTCAACACCATCTCGCCCGGCTACATCGTCACCGCCATGGTCGAGGCGCTCTTCGAGACCTACCCGGAGCGCAAGATCGAGTGGCCCAAGCACAACATGCTCAACAGGCTCAGCCAGCCCGGCGAGTACCGTGGCGCCGCTGTGTTCCTGCTCAGCGACGCCAGCAGCTTCATGACGGGCAGCGACCTGCGCATCGATGGCGGGCACTGCGCCTGGTAAGATGCCGGAAGAGCAATGACTAGAAAAAGGAAAAAGCGAGTTTTGATGACTTTTCTTTTTAAAGTCTTTTTTGATGATTAGTCGTTAATTATTTTTCCAAAGACTATTGGAGGAGTTTGGGAGCTTTTTGGCGGTTTTCGTAGAGCAGAACACCTATAATTACATCTTTTTTATACATCCTTCATCTCTCTCACCAACAACTACTTTTTCCATATCTGAATTCCGCATCAAGCAGGCGACGTGATCCCAATCCGTCCCAACCTCGCCACAACCCCAGCCTTCAATTCCAGCCTCGCCTCAATCTCCGCGGGCGAGTATCCCCTCTCGCGCATCAGGTGCATCTGAATAATCGTCTTCAAATCCAGAAACTCCCTCCCGCCGCTACTGCTGCGTCCGAGCCCGTCAAACTCGGCGTCGGCCTCCTGCTGGAGCCGGCGCCGGGCTTCGAGGGTGCCGAGTGTTGCATTGCGGGAGGTGGAGGGGAATAACGGGCCGGGGTTCTGGATTAGATCGGCGTGAGGACTCGGGCCGGGGCCGGGATTGGCTGTTGATGTGGAGGAGAAGGTTGGGTTGGGCTGGACGATGCCCATTTGGCGGAGGCGCGAGGAGAATTCGGCGGTGACTTCGGGGTTTGTGGTGGTGGTGGTGGTGGTGGTGGTGTTGGCTGTGAGGTCTGGGTTGTGGTGGTCAGCTTTGGGGTCATGATTGATCAATAAGTCCGTATTTCAAAGGAGTGACTGACCTTCTGGTTTGAGTGTCGCCGTCTTCGCCTGTGACCGGGCCTGCGCGGGCTGCGTCGCAGGCGCAGCGGGAGCTGCTCTTGCAGCGGAGGATGGCGGTGGTACGGCGCCCGGGGCGCGGGTCGGGAATTTGCGCGCGGCACCTTGCGCGGCTTTTGAGGAGGATGAGCCCATTGTGTCGAAACTTGTTCGTGTGGTGGTGGGAAGGCGGACGGACGGGCGGGAGGGCGAAAGTCGAGGGGCAAACACGGGAGAATCGCTTGGGGAGAATTGGTGGGAAAGAGAGAAATGCGACCGAGGAAGCTCGAGATTGTTTGCGGCAAACGATGGAATTCTTATCGATAAGCATGGCAAGGGCCCATGACGCATCCATTCTGGGGTACGTATCGTAAGATGAGTTTAGTCGTGTTTGATTGGGCAATTCACCGCGTTGCTCCCGAGCTCTCGGTGTGGTCTTCGGTCTGCGTTGATGGAGACATCAAGAAATGGTCTTGGGCTGTTCCTCTCAATCAGCTTCAATAACAGCCTAGACAAGCTGAATACATCAGGTCCTTAGTTTCATCAACTACCGCACACTCTAATAAGCTCTAGTATCTCCATTATTGCGATGCGTGAGGTTCTTTCAACTCCGCCGAAGCCACAGCCGTCGTGTTCTTCTCTGTGACAACTGGGCTTACACCGTCGGTGGCAATGTAAAGCTCCATCACCTTGGGTCCAGGATAATGATGAACTGCGTGGACCATCCACCAAAGCCCCGTGATCGCCACCGTTCCCACCAAAATGACGGCACTCCAGTTCATCGTCGCTACTGTCGTAGGCAACACGAATGCTAATGCTCACGTCAGGGAGTGGCCAAAGTTTTGGAAGTAACAGAAGACTTACGGAAACAGAACATGATATCAAACAAGATGATGAATAGCACGGCCAGTCCGTTGATGATGTATCCCGCCTTGCCCAGGTGAAAGGGTCCACGGGGGAAGTACTTCCGCCCCGAGAGCATGTTAGCTGCGAATGGGATGGCGTATGAGACGGATGTGAGGATGATGAACGAGCTTGCCAGTGCTAGGAAAGCCGCGGAGCTACCGAGCGGTATGGCTCCGAGTCCGGTTGCGACGACACCTGAATGAATATCCATGTTAATCTCTAGCTCATTGAGGATGGATCAAGACGAGAACATGGCAACGTACAGACGAACAAGGTTGACCAGACAGGGCAACTCAGGCGCTCGTTGACCTGCGCGAAGACATTGGATAAGGGCACAGCATTGTCGCGCGCGAGCGCCCAGTAGGTTCGCGAAACCTGAGTGTAATTCAGCATTCAGGACTTCACCGGCTCATGTGGATGGTCGTCTCACCGTCAAAGTCAAGCCCACACAACACGTCAGCGTGCAGCCCAGCATGATGAAGAGCAGACCAAACGCTGCGCCTGGGTTCCGGATTCCACTGCTGCTTGTCGTGGCTTGCACGTAAATGTTGGTCAGCGGGAAGGAGTTGAAACCGCCTTGGAGAGCTGTAATGTCCGTGATGGCGTAGGACAGCGCGACGGCAAAGCAAAAGGCATCTATCAAAAGTCAGTTGCGGGTTCACCATGTTGGCAGACTTTTCACTAACAGACGAAGCCCAGGGATATCTGCAAGAGGATGGCCTTTGGGAGATCCTTCTTCGGATGCGGCATCTCTTCAGCCATGTGCGTGACCGAGTCAGGCGTCCCGATCGTGAAGGCACCATTGAGAACGCCTAAGAGAAAAGCAACGCCCCCTGACCACCCCGTAGCATTGTTCTCGTCGAAAGAGCCCCATACAAAGTGATTGCTCGCGTGTTGCTTCGGCATAGCGACCAGCACGATAATGGTGACGACGCCGCCGATCAAGACGAAGAGTGTTCCGGCTTGCTGGGTATAGGGAGCGTACTTGTTGGCAAAGACAATGAAGCCCGCGCACCCCCAAAGGATGATGAGGTATCCAATGAAGACGTGGAAGGGCTGGCTGACGTAGGTGTCCCAGTTCCAGACGGCATACATGCTCACGGCGACGTTGCTCGAGATCTGCAGCAGGGCTGCGAGCGAAAAGAGCCAGCCGTAGAAGTTGATCCACCCGGTAAAGAAGCCGAGGACTCGGCCCCAGCGAGGGCCGCCGGCGATGGTGGCCCAGTGGTAGACGCCGCCTGCCGTGGGGACAGATGACGCGAGCTTGGAGAAAGGTGTTAGACGTCGTGATTCATATTGTTTGCGAAACAGGGGGGAGAAAGAAAGGACTGGGGTGAGAGAATCATACCTCTGATAAACTCAAACCGATGAGGGAGTAGTAGAAGACGGCGACGAGAAGGCCGTAGATGATACCGGGTGGGCCACCGTTGACTAGATTGATCCCGGCTCGTTACAATGTCCGACTTGCAAGTCACAGGCGGCTTAAACTTACGAATTGACACGGAAATAGACGAGCCCAAGGCAACCCAGGCGTTGTCCACCGTCAGAGCCATGCTTGCCAGTCCAAAGAATCCATATTGGCGATTCAGTTGATCCCTGTGGCCCGCGGCGTTCAACCGAATCCCATCTTGGACGGCGACTACGGTCTCGTCATCGGATGCCGAAGCCGACTCCACAACTCTATCTGGTGCAACGGATACCTTCATTGTAGGTCTCGCAGCCAGGACAGTCGGCTGTATGTGCCTGGCTGGTGCAAGAAAGCGTGGAATGTGCGATACCGAAGCGCGGATGTCACTCGAACAGCAGACCGCTAGAAACGCTGAAAACGAAAGGTTGAGAAAAGAGGAGGATCAATTTCGAAACGGAAAGCAAGACAGTAACAGTCCGGCCCAGGACGTCTGTGAAATGCGACACAACGGACGAAATATGTAGGATCCGAAGAGGCAGACGATAAGACGGTCCTGGTGGGTGGCATTGTGCCTTCTAATACGCCATGTCTTGGGATGGAAAAAGCTGCAACTGGTCACTTCTCTTCCAGTGGCTGGCAATATCAGATAACACTTGTGCGACGGCCATAGGTACAGATTTGGCGTTGCATTCAACAACCGACTTGTCAGCCTGCAGAAGCGCCGGTTCAGCATATCAGAAAGGGATGCTTCGGAGAGCTAGGCATGTTGAGCTAGGCATGCTGCGAAACACCCTGCCCAGGGTCTTGGCAACCAGCAGAAGCGCGCTGGCAATTTGTTTCTCTGAGGAGTCGTTGCCGAACTACTAGAGCCATCGTACGCTACTCGATACGTGGGACGGGCCGTCCGATCTCTATCTTGTATCGTTGTAGAATCCTCGCTGGTCCACTTGGAAAAGCGAGGTAAAGCACGCAAAGTAAGGCATATCGTGCAGTCTAGGGAGATAGAGGGGAGACAAGTTGAAAAGAGAAGCCGATTAGTGACAAATCGCAGTGCACAACGTTGAGTGGCTGGGTAGCACGGATACATGCGAGAACACTCGAGCCGCGACAAGTAAGCTTTCTCAGGGCTGATGCCGAGTGGCTTGTGCCCAACAGTCCAGTACATGGCTCGACCCAGATCAATCATCATAGATGGGACCCCCCTTGAATTCCGGCGATCTCGAGTGGAAACGGCGGCCAACCCCATGGCCCGTCCACCGTCCACGTGTGGCTTGGTAGGGAGACCAGCCGAGGCGTATTGTGTAGGTATTTGTAGACGGGGATCTCATCGAACTTGCCCCTCCGCTTTCATGCCATGCTTGGTGTTGTAGAGTTCGCGATGAAACTTGTGCTCTGTGAATCCGTCTTGAATGACTATCGAAGAATTGACCCAATCGATTTTGCACCGGCAGATGCGGTAGCGGCCGATGTGACGATGACTGCTTTGATCAAGAGGTAGCCGAGACGGCCTATTCCGTTATTGGACTTCGTAAATGATTGAGGCCCTTGTCTGAAGCAAGGAAGCTGGAGCTGGTAAAGGTCGAGATGCGTGTCTCACTGCTGCCGCCTAGATGCAAGAGGTAGGAGACGAGATCTAGGCCTGCTAGTTTTCGCCCGATGGCCGACCATGAGCTTTCGGGTCATTTCATTGGCAAGTCTTGGCAAGGTGATGGGTAGGAATAGAGTTCCAAGTGCTGACCATTTGTTGATAAATCGCCTGGATTCGCGCAACGGCGATTAGCAAGACCTGAGAAGTATTGCAAAAGGGCGAGAACCAGAAAGTAATCAATAATGGAACAGAGCAGTGTCGGCAAGAGGGGACTCGTCTTCTTATCGAGCCAGGGCTGTCGCGTTCATGATGCGATGGCACAAAAAGAAACTTATTTATCATCAGAAAAAGAACATGGGAAGAAATGAAGCAGTCAATTACCGTGCAATAAGGTACCCAGGTACACCCCGCTAGAAGCATCACCCGCGATCCGGCAGCCTAGCGCCGAAGACCCGTTATTTGTTTATTCGCCTGCCGTTTAGCACCTAGCGCCGTCCCTTTACGGATAAACTAGCGAGAAAGGGCCAGAAGCTTAGCACCGCGCCAAGTGGGTCCGAACGTTGCACCAGGAAGGAGCTGAAGGACACGGGAAGGAACACTCGCTTCAACTTGCAAAGCTCTATGAATATGGACTTTTGATCAATCCAGTGTTTTCCATCAATTGCCATAATGGTAATCAGCGCCCATCTAATAGTTGGCTCTTTCATGACCTCAAATCTCTCCAGCCTCGACTTCACCATACATTTGGTGCTCAGCCAACATCTCATCCATGTTTCCACGTTGCGCTGCCTAGCTCGACGTTGTACTGATTGGTGGACATTTCCCCCCAAAGCTTCGTCAAACTTTACAAATTTCGACAGCTGGACCTTGCTGCAAACTTAATGGCCGTCATGGAGAGTATTACAAGGCTCGTCGAACATCCCAATCCCATTTCCAGGTGGGCCAGCGCGGATTCGCGAACGTTTCAATGCTGAGCTTCTTATATTACATCTATCTGTAAGCTATCCATGCGAGACAAACACTTGCTTATAAGTTATTACCAACCGGATCCCAATTTTAAGTCACTCTACTACGAACTCAATGGTTGAACACCGCAACTTGAGAGGCTACAATGTGACGCTGAAGAATGAGTCGATATTCATCCAATTTCCGATTGAAGCTTGTGCGTCTTGCCATTGCCGATGTCGACATCCGGAACCTGCCTGTCACTTCAAACGCCCAGACAATGCTTTCTTAACTGCCGGTTCTATCACCCAGGGACGGTGCCGGATGGGTTCGAGTCATGCAAGGTCATCCCTTCTAATCCGGGGTCCTACCCAAGGCACCATGTGGCGTCCAACATCTCTCCTTAGGGCGAGATGGCAGGCATTTTTATGAATAAATGAGCAGCGACAACTCTTTCGAGCGGTATCCACCTGCTTTTTGAGAGAGCGGAGTCTGGTCGATCGCTTGACCCATGTTCATCGTCATCTGAGGATGATACTTAGACGGTGGTGATCCGTGTCGGCTGTTGAGATGCCCTGGGTGTTAGTTCCCTCTTCAGTCTTTCTTATTCCGTTCCGAACATTCTGCAGCTTGTTGCGACGCCCGCGGCGTTAGACCCAATTCATAATGGGTAGCTTCAGGTATCTAGCAGTAGCTATTACGTTCCTTCTGTGCATGATTGCTCAAGCAGAAAGCTCGCCGAAGCCAACGAGACTATGTCCGCCTCTGAAGAAGGGAAGCTTCGTCATACAACAGTATCAACTCTATCCCGAAAATGCGGACTGGGACGTGAACAGCTGCATCGTCTATTTCGGGTAAGCTTCTATCAAAGATTCACATATCAACCATGGTGCTAAATTACAGACAAGATCACTGTTCAACGCAAGCGTTGTAGTTTACGACCCTTACAAGGACACTGTCCTCGACATCTTGACGTTCGACGGCATCACACACAACCCTGCCTTGCACATCGGTGGTGTGCAGGTGGACACTCGCACCAAATTAGTTTCTATCGTAGTCGACGCTGCTGCCCCCTTCAACACCGCCGGCAAAGACGTATCGGGCGATAACTTCATCATCCTGTACGACCCAGCGAAGAAGCAGGTGCTTTGGAACAAGAACATCACGGCCGTAACGAAAGGAGAGTATGGAGGCTTTCAGGACGTTGAGCATGACACCCACGGCAACACCTACGTCGTTGGCTCGTTCCCGGGGACAATCATGAAAGTCGACCGCCAGGGCTCTGCCGTCGTACCGTGGTACCTCCCTGCGAAAATCGACCATACGAAAATGGGCTTCTCCGGCCTCGCGGCCACCGGCAACATCCTGCTATCTAACAGTAACGAGGACGCCCAGATCTACCGCTTCGACATGAAAGCGGACAAAGGCGCCCCAGTACTCGTGCCCAGGTCACCGAATACGACGCTGGCTGGCACCGATGCCATCTATCTTCCACCGAGGTACGGTGGGAAGGTGTTGCTCATTGCCGAAAATACCAAAGGCGTGACTGTTTTGCGGTCAAAGGACGGGTCCTGGAAGTCTGCTGAGCACCTCGGCACGGTACCGAATAACTCCACTGATGCTCAAGGCGGGATTGTCACTGCTCCGGTGCAAATCGGCGACAGTCTGTTCATGGTTGAGGAGTTCTTTGCGGATGCTTCCGTCGCCGGCTCAACTTCTGGGAATAGAACTAGTTTCCCGATGGTAGACATCACCTCGCAGGTTGAGGATCTTCTCAAGAAATGAAGTCGTCGCGGTTTGAACCAGTAATCATAATGAGTACACTTGCAGTCAATGGAGAAACATTCACAATTTCATCGCCATGTCGACAATGCAGATTTTATTCGCAGATTCAACTAGGTGGTTAGCTGAGACCGCTCCTTGGCTTTTCTTGAACTGACAAGCCGCTGGCACATTATCTGACATGCATAAGAGTCTACAGGCATCCACACTCCCGCATCAACAGCCAATTGCCTATTGGACATGAGATTTGATCTAGTCCACACCCCTCGCCGATGATAGGGCTACAACATCAACCCAATAGCTCGTTTCCACGGCCAAAAGTTGCCGCGTTCGCGCTCAGTGCCCCTCCAACACTATGATACCTCGATAACGTGAAGTCTTTCACCAATCATGCCCTCCCCGTCTTCCCGGCTTCACACCTGCGAGTGGTGTCGCAGACTCCTCGTCATCCGGGCCGAAGCCGATATCCCGCATCGGGATCGGAGCGACAGATACGACGCAAGGTGGAACAAGATCGTATTCGAGACCAACCTCACAGATCTCCTCTCAATCCAGCAGAAAACATGCGCCTTCATAGACTGGATTCTCGACGGAGAGTGCATCGCACGGCCAGACGTAGGCGAATGCGTCGACAACATAACCGGCGAGGTCTATCAGATGGACCTAGAGGAGCTCGAGCAGTTCCACGGCCAGATTGATAAGGACCCGGACTACAGGCTTTCTTCCATGCGCCACGCCGTTCAGAGCCGTAGTGACGGGTACGTCGACTACGTCCTCGTGGCTGAGACGAATCCCCCGTTCCGCATGGGTGGCGAGCACACGCCGGATGTCCTGAGTATAGAATACTTTGGTCTCTGGGACCCGCGCACGAAGCTGGTTTCGTATAGGACGGTTAAAGAGCTACAAATATTTACGAGGCAAGATAATGCGGCAGCCAGGGATTTCTGGACGCGTCCGATACAGAATGATCCCGCGTATTGTCTGCCCATGGTTAAGTCGTGGCTGGTCGAGTGCGAGAACAAGCATGAAAAGTGTCGGGAGCTGAAGACGCAGTCTGGGCCGTCAAATCTCAGGCCTGTTAGGCTGATCTACATTGATCCAAGCTCTGTTGGAGTAGGCTTTTCGCTACGGTTGCAAAATACAGCGAATCTCAATCCTTTGCCGAGATTTGCGGCGTTGAGCTATTGCTGGGGTGGCAATCAGACGGTAAAATGCGAGACGTCTACGCTAGAGGCATTCACAAAGAACATTCCTTTTGAGAAACTGCCTCGGACTATACGAGACGCCGTTGAGGTTTGCGCACAGCTCGGAGTCGAGTATATTTGGGTCGATGCTCTCTGCATCATCCAAAATGAAGGCAACGACGAGAAGATTTTGGAGATTGCCAAGATGCCTTACATTTACGGTCAAGCGTCGTTCACCATTATGGCATCCCGAGCCAAGACTGCGTGGGAAGGGTTTCTCCAGGACAGGGGGTCAGACATCGAGTCTGGCCAGGCGTTCCTTCTCTCATGGCAGTCAGAAAAGGGCGAAATTGGATCGATTACCCTGGCTGAGTTGGAGACGGGCCACGAACCCATCGACGAGCGAGGATGGACTTTCCAAGAGCGGCTTTTGTCCCTCAGGGCCGTCGAGTTCGGGTCTCGGCAGACTCGATGGAGCTGTCAGGAGCCGATTCCATCAGTGACTGGGAACGACATGCTATACGGCCTCGACGTCGGCGAGGGTGCCACCGACGGCTGGAGAAAAATTGCAGAGCCCAATGATCTGAGGCAGGACTCGTTCAGCTGGGGTCTCTGCTCCAAGACGCCATCGCCGTGGGGTGCTCTGGTGGACATTTACACCAGCCGCAACCTATCCTTTAATACTGACCGTGCTCTGGCCATGTCAGGGGTCGCGGAGCGCTTCGCGGTGTTGACTGGCGATGAGTACGCTGCCGGTCTCTGGAAAAGGAGCATCCGGGACGAGTTGCTCTGGAGAGTAGAACAGGATGAGCGACGTAATCGGCCTGTGCTCTCTCAGGGGCCTTCGTGGTCGTGGTTTGCTGTTGATAGCAGTGTGAGAGCATACGTGGCTTTGGGTGATGGTTGGGAAATCCCTACGTTTGAGGGCGATGTGACAGATGCGACGGAGGTCTTCCATGCTGAAGTCTTGTCTATTGCTGCTGAGCCGGTGAATCAGAAAGCACCATATGGCGATGTCCGTAGCGATTCAAGTCGGCTTAGACTTCGCGGGAGACTCGCTGCGGCTACCCTCGTCAACCATCCTACAGCAGACTCGAGAAATGACCCGGAAGATGTATTTGATATAAGTAGTCCTCAGAGCTTACAGGGTGTCATTGACTCAAGGATCCGGCTCATGAGTACCAGGAACATCAGTTGTCATCTTGATTGCCTAGATGAAGTAGACGTGAAGTCTGAAAAGACGGCCGGCGACTCTGAGGGGTACATGGCCCTGGAGATCAAGAGAGTGCGTGGGTACTCTGCGGATTGGACTGTACTCGGTTTACTTCTGCAGCCGGCTGAGCGCAACCGGGGACGTTCGTTGGATGGTGTATCAGCTTACAGCAGAATTGGCACATTTGAGTTGGAGCTGGAGACTAGTTTTGATGATTTGGATGATGATGAGAGTTTTCAGAGCGAGGAGCGTTGTTTCTTCGACTTTATCACACCACAAGTAATTGAGATATCTTGATAGACACGATGAAGACAAAACATGTCTCTGTTCTGTTTTATAGAGCCCAAGTACCATGGAAAGTACGAGGACTGCCAGCCCGCACGAGGATTCAGGTCGCCTCTTCTTACTTCCATCACGTTCCCGCCTTTATTCTGAAGACGTTGTGTATGTTGCAATATATGTAGCGAGGATCCATGTACAAAGAAAGAACCAAGACAATGAGAACAAAAGGGAATGTTCGGTACGCGGCCGTCTACTTTGTTCCGTCAATTGTCCCGACGTATCACTTGCTACGCTTTGTAGTTAGAAATTACTCGTCATCTTCTGCATAAGTTTATAACCAGAATCACACATCTGTCTCAAGTAAAGTCCTTCGTTGACTTGACTTGACTTGACAAATCTTCTTGTCTCGGCAATAGATGTAAGTCTTCCGAGAGAATCCACATTTCTTAACCTTGTGGCCTCGTGCTCCCTTGTTTAACAAACTCGGGTGGTAAGGATCATGGCCACGGCGACCCAAGACAAACGTACCAGCCAAGTGCTGTTCCCCGTTGTTCGCAGCAAAACTCTTCCACGGCATCCACGATTCCTCTCGAAGTCATGTCTGTTACTTCAACAACCCACTGGCCTGGGCAATGTTGTAATTTACGACTAAGCGGTCATGCGCTTAAGCTCTAAACTTCCCCCCTTTTCTTCTCTCTCATTTTTTCGTATCTTTTTTACCTTCCCATCTCTCTCCCACCCTTCGTCTTCCCATCATATTCCACCTTCTTCAAGGCAAGTCATCTAGACCAAATCAACCGCCAACGGGGATACGAAACGATAGAGTCTTCAAGATATCAGAGCTAACAAGCATCAGAATCTACGATACGAAAAATTTCCAGCGGAGTTCGGGTCCCGAGACACTACCAGTCGTTACTCGAAGTACCTCAAGTCTTCTTCTATTCGCCATGGACTGCACCGAGAGACTAAAGGCTCTCACGCGGGCCAAGATTTTCGAAAGTCTGAACCGGAATCATACGAGATCCACAAGTGAAGATGGGGCCCAGAGGCGAGGAGATCAGATACGTACACAGTTTGGGATATCAAACCATCGGGCCGAAACATCGGTGAGAAATAGAATCCACGATATCTGTCGAGATTCGAAAATTGTCGCCGAAAATGGAGTGGACGCTGACATATAGGATCAGAAAAATGACACGATTGAGAGTGCTCCTGTCGCCAGCGTGAGCCCATTTGGCGGTGGCGGCATGGTTGCTCCTGCGAGTAGTCCTGTTGCCAGAGCTCCAAGCAGCCAGGTGCCGACTCCTCCACGTCCCAGCCCGGGACCTTCATCTTCACCTTCACCTTCACAGCTCCGCTCCGGTAGGTTTTCCCAATCGCAACACTCCATTGCAGGGTCGAAATCTTGCTGATCAGACATAGCGAGTCCATCTACAACTCCCTCCCGCCAGACGATACCGCCATCCTTTCTCCAACATTCTTTTTGTGAGTCTCATCTCATTAGCCAAAACCTTTTACCTGACGAATTATCGCTAAGTTGGTCTAGCAAAATACATTACTTCAAGTCCCGTCGGCCCAATCGGGGCCCCTCAGTCCTCGACGATGAGCTTCTCACCTCCGCAGCTCCCATCGCGTACGTCTAAAATCCGAGCTCATGACCTATTGCGCGTTTCTGCTAATAAACCTCAGCGAGTGTATCCATATTTAGCCCCAGTGGTCGTCCGATGCAGAATCCGATGGTAGCGGCGCTTTCATCCGGGCAGCGGGTCCCTTCCAAGGCGCGACTTCGTGAGATCCATCCCATCCCTACCTACCCACCTCTCACTAATTACTATCCCATATACAGAAACGGACAAGAACCGAAGAGCCAGTGTCGTCAAGGTTACCAGCCCGGAAAAGCCTTTCAACTCGAGCAGCCCCCCGATTCCGTCTGCCCTCCGAAGCGTCAACTTCCCTCCTCCGTCCCTCGAGAGCACCTCCGACGAGTCGAGCAGCGATGAGCCTATTCTTACAACCCGCGGACATCAGGGCAGCCTGCACCATACAGCTCAGAGCGAAATGCGGATGAATTCCGACCCCTCGTCCAGCTACCCGCCTCCTCCCATGTCCCCAAACGAACTCTTCAACGCTTTCGCATCCATGAACACATTCTCAGTCAGCAACGCGCCTCCTTCCGTGCCCCCGATTGACCTGCTCGCGAATCCCGGCCCTGCTTGGAACTTGGACCTTCTTCGGAGCCCTCGACTTGGTCACATCATCAGACCACAAGAGGAGATCGCAGTCAGACTCGGTAACGCGCGCACCCTCGCCCACAACGGTTACCGCGGCCCTTTTAACATCGGCCGTCTCACCTGCCTCATCGATCCGTACACCGGCGAGCCCAACCCCATCGCTGAGACGCGCCCTGATACCCGCGGTAAGATGATTACGTACGACCTGCAAACCAAGGAGGACATACACACTGCCGAGCCCTCCGAGACAGGTACCGCCCAGTGGGGCAGGAAGGGCGAGTTCACTGGCTTTCGGGAGTCGAGCGCCGCCTCGTGGGTATTTGGTCCCGGATAGAACCCGGGCATGCCCCCGCCTAGAGTTGAGGAAACCGAGGACTCGCGGTTCATGCCTACCGGAAAGGACGCCTGGATGGGTGTCAGGCTTTGCGAGGGCCCGAAGTCTGTCATGGTTCACGATGAGTATGCCCCGGCTGCGACGCCTAGCTTGGGTCCGGCGCCATCTTGGATGAAAGAGGCCAATGCTGCTCTGGGTATTCCGAACGAGGAGGACGAGGATGAAGAGGGCCTCTTTGAATATTGCGACTTGGATTTTGAGGACTGATTTAGAGTCGTCAGTACCTGGGACATTGGAGTTTTACCTGGGATATGGAGTTTGGATGAATTCTCTCACTTGGAGAACAAGGTCTGCTTTGGGAATTGGGCGTTCAAAGGTTCAGATCTGGACAGTCCATCAAGATCGTTACGAAGTGTTTATGAGTATGAGAATGAGTACATATGTTGATTATGAAAAGCCCCCCCTGTATTACTTTATACGGTACGTCTTGCTTCCAAAGCGTGAACAAACTCGTCGTCCTTCCCGGAAGCGACCCATTCCCAAACTGATGCCTTCTACACCAGTCTTCAGTCAATCTGAGTGTGCTCAACACACATCGCCAGCCTCAGCCTCAGCTCTAGAGAGCCTTCGCCTCAACAATCACCTTCCAGGAGGCGGCATAGGCTTGGTCCCGTTCTGAGGGGTAGCTGTCCCATTCGCAGGAGGAGGCATCCCTCCGCCTCCATGGCCACCACCACCACCTCCGCCTCCAGGAGGCTTGTCGCCACCACCTCCTCCTCCAGGGGGCTTACCACCACCACCACCACCGCCGCCGCCAGGCTTGTCACCCATGCCATCACCCTCCCCGCGCCCACAACCGCTCATATAAAGCGTGATCTCGCCACAATTGACGCCCTGATCGTTCTTCTTGTACAGGTTATACGTCTGGTTCTCCGCCTCGCACTGGAAGTACCGCGTCTGGTCCTGGAACTTCATCCGGCCATCGCAGCCCGCGCTCCAGCCCTTGTCGGGCTTCTGTCCCTGATCACATTGAAGCGTCTCGGTAGGGGCTGTTTGTATATGTCAGTCTATCTGCTTCCAAAGTTCGTGTTGTGGCGGAGAGAACGGGGAAAGGGGTTCAGAAACTTACGAGTCCACCACATGCCGCGCCGGCGGGTATCGACAATCTCGCCCTTTTCCATGCGGAGGATGACGGGCTCGAGGCCGATTCGCAGCTGGCCGCTGTCCAGTTGGCCGACCCAGCCCGAGACGGAGCCTTTGGCTCGCATGCGGAACGAGTTGCATTCCGTCATGCCGCCGCCGCCTTTTCCTCCTCCTCCTCCTCCACCGCCGCCACCACCGGGTTTGTCTCCTCCACCGCCGCCAGGCTTGTCACCGCCAGGCTTATCGCCTCCGCCTCCGCCTCCACCGCCTCCGTGACCGCCTCCATTGCCTTTGCAGTCATCTCCTCCCTTTCCACCACCGCCGCCACCACCTCCGCCACCACCTCCGCCGGGCATACCAGGAGGCTTGTCACCACCGCCGCCGCCGCCGCCACCGCCGGGAGGCATACCAGGCGGCTGCTTGCCTCCGTGACCGCCCTTGCAGTCATCGCCGCCCTTCCCGCCACCTTCACCAGGCTTACCTCCGCCCTCACCGCCGCCTCCGTGACCTCCACCTCCACCGCCGCCGCCGCCACCACCACCAGGCATACCGGGCATGCCAGGCATACCGGGGGGCTTATCACCACCCTTACACTCTCCGCCGCCACGACCACCGCCGCCTCCTCCTCCTCCACCTCCACCTCCTCCGGGGTGATGTTCCGGGTCCATGGTGTTATTAGTCTCCCTGGGCACAAGAGCTAGAGCGAGAGAGCTCGTGGCCAGGGATACGACTGTAAGTAAAGAAAGACGCATCTTCTCCTGCTTCTTCTTTTTCTGTGCGTGTGTGTGTAGTGTTTTTGGACTTGCTCCGTCTACGAGAGACTAGGAGTAGTGGTGTTGATTGTGATAGGGATGACGACAGACGGTTACTCGCCAACGGGCTCCGAGGTAAAGTAATAACCTCGTGATGATGGCCCGTGTTCAGGGGGGGAAAGAGAAAAAAGGATGATGTGCTGGGTAAGGTTTACACACAAAAAAGAAGAAGCCTTTTTGATCCTTCTTTTTTGGTTGTTGATCCAGCGCAACTAAAAAGCGAATGCTGGGCGGATGGTGTTCGGATAAAAGAAAACAAAAAGGGGTGAAGAGATAAGAAGACTAACTCCTCTAGCGGGAGGAAGACTTTCATCTTTTTATGCTTTCTAGCAGAACCCCTCCTAAAGCTTTTTGAGTATTTGCCGAAGTTCCTCGTTCTACGAAGGAAAGACGAGGCGGGGTTCAAAACATCCTGCCTTTCCCTCTCAGACGCATACACACCCCTCCTCCTCGCATACAGGAATGGCGAACACGAAATAGTCTTTTGACTTGACTAGTTACCCGAGAGCAGAAAATCCGAGTAAGGAAGGCACACACCGGTGGGCGAGAAAGTGAGGGGAAGAGATCTCGAGGAGTAGGAGGAGGAGGAGGAGGAGGGGTGTGGCGAACAAACCGGCGTGTTTGGTTTCCACGATGTTCGACTCATTAGGCGACGAGGAGAAGGTGATGTGTAAGGTAAGGTAAGGTGAGGTAAGGTACCGACATGTAGGCAAGGGCAAGGGGTGTTTGCCGCCGTCCCGGAAGAGAGAACAAAAACCAAGGCAGAGAGGAACAAGAAAGAGGGCGAGAGAAACAAAAACATCGGATTACACGGTCCACGTGGGGTCGACGGACTTGCCTTCTCGTCGGAATATTTCCTCCAAAGAGATGTTGCGATGCCGTGTGTGCGTGTGGTTGTTGACTACCGGTACCTACTCGAATCTCGAATAAGAAAAGGGCGTTGTAAGAACTCTAAATAAACCTTCTTCACGACTCATATTCTTCAGACGATCGTCGACCACTTCTCTTCTCCAATCGAGATGGAGGGAGGGGTGGTGGTCCCAGATAGAGCAGAGCCAAGAAGGAAAGGGACCGTTTTAACACTAGATGGAAAGAAGGAAATCCTTCCTTTGCAAGTACAAGCCAACCAAAAAGTTTGATTGTCAATGAGGAAAGAGTCAAGTCAGGTTCGCTAGTTGAGACGGGGAGAAGTTGAGGGAAACTCTCCTGCTTAGTCGTGACGAGGAACCTTACGTCGGAACTTTAAACAACATCATCGAATCCCCGTTTTCTCCGTCGGCCGATGTCTTTGTTTTTGGTGCTCAAGTTGTAAGGATCGACGATGCGGCGAGGCAACCGACGAAGCGAACGACAGAAGCCGAAAGAGGGAACATGAGGGGGAGGCAAAGGAACAAAGTTTTCATCGGTGAATCAAGTGTTTGTGTATTGTGACCGACTGGCGGGCAGTCAGGCCATTGGGTTTTCTATCTCTAGATTCTTGTTTCTAGTTCGGTTCTTTCTGAACCGAGAGAGCCTCCTGTTTTTCGTGAAGAGACTTGAGGGTATGGACAATGTCTGTCCACGGATGGCAACTTGCCATTCAAGACAGATAATCTGGGGGGTATCATACGGTAACATCGCTAAGCGTCACATCCCTCGAGAGATGGCGGGGGAACAACAAGCTTTGGGACACATCCCGCGGCTGAAGCCCGAGCTTAGCTGGAGAAACAGGGAAGCGCGGAAATCCGGGATCTGCGTCCTACGGCAGAGCCGCAATCAGGTGCCGACGCTGGACAGCCTCAATGTCTGGAAACATTCAGGCTTCGTGAAACAGCTGCCCTGGGCTGGCCCGTGATTCTTCACGGCAGAAAAAAGCCTTCCGATTTCCTGGGCGTCCCCGATTGCGGAACGTGCCAGCTACACTCGCTTTTTTCGTTTTGTTTTGTTTTTTCCCGAGTCAGCCCCAACCCAAATGGACTTGGCCGTTTCCCACCTGTGCAGGTGAGGCTGCCGAAACTTCGGCGTCGCAGCGGAAAAGATTCATCTAGCAGGTTCTCGCCTGAGGATTTCACGTCTTTGTCTTTCTCTTCTTCGAGGCGTTGCTGGCACTACGGAGCGATGCAGCACGGACCGAGGTGTTGTAGCTCGTCTCCGAGGCAGCGCCGTCACCACCATCTTCGCTCGCAGAGTCGTCGTCTGATACTTCATCCAGCGGGATCATGTCGTCCGAGGCATCGCCTACGTCTTCAGATGCCTCGGCCAAGGACTTATCGCCCTCAGCCTTGTCATCGTCAGACCCGAAACCTTCAAACTCCTCATCGTCCCCTTCTTCTTCGTCACTGGAGGGTCCCATTGACGTATCGGCGACACTCTCGGCCACATCGGCAGCGTCACGCTTCCGCTTCTGCGGCATCTCGCCAAGCCTGCCACCACGGCCCTCGATGCCCTCTGTTGTCTCCGCACCTTCCTCCTCAACAGGCGCAGGACTGAACCAAGGGATCTTGCCGCGCATGAAGTCGTTGAGGACCATCTTGGCGACACCGTCCAAGTCGGCCTCTCCGTGCTTCAGAAGACGACCACCCTTTCGGGCAAGCATCTCGAGGAACTCAACGTGATTGGTCCAACCCTTGAGTCCATATGTTCTCTCCATGTGATGTGTCTTCACCTTCTCGAGGACAGCCGGAATGTACTGCTCGGGATTGTGGACGTTCTCTACGCGAACCACACCTCTCAGGAGAAGATCCTGAGGGGTGTCGGTCTGCGACGGCGGTACGATACCGGGGCAGTCAATCATGTCTATGAGGAATTAGTTGCACGCCCAGAGATGTTGAAAGGTAGTTGGCGATGACTTACAAATTTTGCGGGTGAGTGTGATGTACTGCCAGACCTTGGTTTCTCCGGGAATCGGGGCAACATTGGCGACCTTCTTCTGTCTCAGAGTGTTGACAATGGAACTCTTGCCGACGTTAGGGTAGCCGATGAGACCGACAGATATCTGCTTGCGATCGCTGTGGAGCTTGGCATACTGTCTCAGCAACTCAATCAGACTACCCTTACCGAAAGGATTCGTCAGACTAGAGTGCATCGCCAGCGTAGGCTTGTCCTTAGAGAAGTGCTTCACCCAACGGGCCTGTATCAAGTTAGCTTCTGCATGGAAGCAAAATACTGAAGAATCAAGATCATCTTGAGAGTATGTATGCTTCACTACTAAGAAATACCACCATCGAAAGGCTCGGAAGAGCACTGGCAGACTTCAACTCATCGGAAGCAATTCTGTCTCATGATAGGAAATCCAAAACGGACCCCATCAGCCCTGATCCAAGGACCAGGACAGCGAGACAGCCCTCGATTTTCCCAGTGTTTAACGGAGAACTTCCATTGTAAGCACTCAAAAGAGTGCGGAACGCTTCCTGACAAAGACACTGGGGTATGGGATGGGGGGCACGAGAGAATATTTTGAAAAAAACTTACGGCAACACTGGTGGGCACCAAGTCCGTCTTGTTCAAGACAAAGATGAGATGCTTGTGAGGTGCCTCCTCGCGAAGGTACTTCTCGACACTGCGACATCTCGTTCCCAGAGGGTCGCGAGCGTCCAAGACGTGGATGACAACGTCGGAAGAATCCAACACACGGTACAGCTCGTTCCAGATACGCTTGCTCTGACCCTTGTTGAAGATGGGCTCAATCGACAGGGTGACGTGACCTTCATCCTCGTCAGGACCACCGGATTGGCCGCTGAGTAGCTTGTTCCGCTCCTGGAGCTCGTTGAACTTGTCAAGGTCCTTGTCGACCTCACCAGCCAAATCCGCAATGGAACCGGCGCCAATCTTGACGCGCTTCCGCTGGGACTTGGGACCGAACGTGTCTCCAAAAGAAGACGTCTCAATCGTCATCTTGGCCTGGTGCTGCTTGATACCGTTGACGTTGTCGGCACCATCCTTGATCAAGGACATGGGCAGCTTGTTGCTCTTGAGCAGGACCGAGTAAGGGTCCGCGGCCTTCTCCGCCATGGCGCTCCGGAACGCCGTCAAGCTCTCCTGGGAGATGACACGAGTGTTGCCGAACCACTTGCGGTTGGGCTCGATCCGGGCATTGGGGATTTCTCGGCTCTGGAAGGAGGCGGCCTTGGTGATCTCTCCGTCGGCGTTGCGCTGCGGCTTGCCATCCTTGTACATGTTCAACTGCCTCACCCGCTTGGCAGAGCTGTAGACATTGCAAAGTCAGTAACCCGTTCGCGCAATACCGAGCCAACACGGCATGGGGCCGTATAGAGGATTAGGACCTACCGGTAGAAATTTTCGCCCTTGACCTTGACATTGCCCATGCCATCGCCGGTCTTGCCCTGGCGAACCTTTCGGCTCGCCTCTTTCTTTCCGGTTCCCATCTTTTTTTTGTGACCGCGAACTCGCCCAGTCGTCGACCTTATTGAAAAGAAAGGGGAAGACTGGAAGAGAA